GGTATCGCCCGGAATAGCGCTGATTTTTAGGCCCAACCAAGTAAATATTTTCGCGATAATCACTGCAATTAACCGACTATTTATTGAGACAAGAGATAAACCAGACCAAAGATAGAACAACGGCATTCCGTTCAGCCGCTTGAAAATTGTCTTGAAAGTGGTTGGTTGTTTTCCTCGTTGGGAAAAGCGGTAATTAAAGATTGGAACAACAATTTGCACTAAAACCCTATTTAAGTGGAAGGAAAAACGCCTCTGAAAGTAATTTTTCAACCTATCCAATTAAAATATTATTATAAATTACTCTGGAAACACGAAACTTCCAGTCAATTTCTGGCAGTTGAAACCTTAAGACCTCCTATCCGACTGATTATTTTCATGCTGTACCCATTAATTAATGATCCATTACGAAGCTCTCTTTTACGCTCTTGACAACGCTAAAATAAAAGATGTGGCTATCTCTCGAAATTGCATCTTCCTATAAATAGCAGTAGCCTTCCACACCTGACAGAGTTGGAGCAAGAGCAAAACGAAACGGTAATATACACCCGTAATAATAGTACCTCTTGCTTCGCTCTCGGGAAGAAGAAAGAAAAAGAAAGAGAACGCGTCGTTCTGTCCGCGGTACAATAATTACCGCGACTACGACGAGTTCTCCCCGACATGCCATCATTAACGCTGGCCAGAGGCATCCAAGGACAAGGCGCGAGGTGCCGGATGCGCCACGCGCGAAACTCCTAATCGAGAGAAGCCTTCCTATAGATTTCACGTACGCATTAAAGCGATGCTGTTTGCCGATGATTGCATAGGTAGAGAAGCATAGACGACACGCTTATAATGACATCGTCTTGTTCTCTCTCTCTCTCTCTCTTCGTCGGCTTGTAATTTGCGCTCTTGCATGGTTAATCGAAAAGCGCCCAGATGCGCGCCAAGAGATACGGCTACGCTCTGATGAAATTTTAAGGCATTGTGGCGAACGCCTGGGAAAGCGCTGTTACGCAAACTGAACGACGCTACGGGATTATTGCGCGAGAGCATGATTGTCGCGAGTTCAAGGGTTTCAAACGCTACACTTACTGCCTTGAGTCTGCCAATAATAAAGTGATCAGTTAATTGTTTTACAATAAAGCTACAAACTTATGTAGACCATACAAAGTCAGACACTGGCTGTATGCGCGTGCGTATGTATAGTTTAATTGTAGAAAATATCTCGTACTGATTGCTCCTTCGGAGCAAGTGCACGAGAACGCCGGTAACTCGCAGGTATACCGCCGTGCGCACGGTACCAAAGTTTCGTTATTCACTCACATCTACGACAATTTATCGTGCAGCCTCGTCGTATTATACGGGTTTGAGTTCTTTGCTCTCTGTTTGTCGACGACGAGACCTAGCGTTCGACTAACTATACGTACGTGAGTGCAAGCCTACACTGTAGAGTAAACCAGCCAACGCTCACTTGTGTGTTATCTGTCCAACGTGCCGAGAAGTTATTGACCATTAAACAAAATTTACTATCACACTCGCTCGCGCACGAGCAAGTTTGCTGCTTGGGGTTGTCTTTGCTCCTGCTGTTGCTCCCGTCACAGTAGGAACTTATATTTCGTGTCGCCTTTAGCACGTGCACGAAAGCTTAGCAGTTCTGATGACCTCGATATATCGACGGTAAGATAAATGTCGATACAAGCTTAAGCTGCTATTAGAGAATTGTCACTAACGATCTTAATAGGAGATTTAAAAAAAACTAATCAAGGTCATCGTCTTTTTGATAAAGAAACTCTAACAGAAAGAAGATCGGCGTTTACGTCATTCCTATGAGTGTAAATTTATTTTTATTTAACTCACCAATGTACGTACATTTTTAAAAGTAAATTATTTGTAAGTTCTATAAATTTCTATTATTTCACTTTTAATAAAACTAAAATAACTACTCCTTCTCAGATGGGCTTGTAGTGGTCGCTTCATGTGGCGTGGTTTTTCCTATTTTAGTAGAATCTAAAATTGTTTCACTCATTTTTGGAAATTTAAATTCTTTACGCAACGAGAATTCACCAAAGCTGTCGTGGTGACTTTTTGCATCATGCGCATGATGATGATGATGACCTTCGTGACTTTTATGATGATGGTCTTCGTGATGTTTGTGATGGTGATGATGACCGTGATGATGATGATGGTCTTCGTGATGTTTATGCTTTTCATCGTGTTTATGTTCTTCTTTATGTTCGTGATGTTCCTTATGTTTGTGGTGTTCGTGATGCTTATGGTGTTCGTGATGCTTATGGTGATGGTCATGCTTGTGTTCGTGTTTGTGTTCTTGCTTATGTTCCTCCTTGTGTTTGTGTTCTTCATGGTGTTTATGATGTTGATGATGGTGATGGTGATGATGATGATCTTCGTGATGCTTGTGGTGATGATCTTGTTTGTGTTCGTGTTTGTGTTCGTGGCCGTGTTTGTGATGGTGACCATGGTGATGTCCGTGTTTGTGATGGTGATGATGACCGTGCTTATGATCGTGCTTGTGGCCATGCTTATGCTCGTGGTGATGCCCGTGTTTATGTTCTTGATGATGCCCATGTTTGTGCTCGTGGTGGTGGCCATGTTTGTGTTCATGGCCGTGTTTATGGTGATGATCTTGGTGATGTTCATGCTTGTGACCGTGCTTGTGTTCATGGTGATGTCCATGCTTATGATGATGATGTTGATCGTGTTTGTGCTCGTGTTTATGCTCATTCTTATGTTCATGCCCATGATGATGATGGTGTGATTCAGTTTCTTTATGAGTATGATGATGATGATGTTCATTGTGATGATGATGATCGTGATGATGATGATGTTCATTGTGATGGTGATGCTTGTGGTGATGATGATGATCTCCTTTATGTTTATGCTCATGTCCATGTTTATTTTTGTGTTCGTGATGATGCCCGTGCTTGTGCCCGTGATGTTGATGGTGTTTGTGTTCGTGATGGTGTTTATTCTCATGTTTGTGTTCGTGCTTATGCTCGTGTTCGTGGTGATGGTGATGTTTTTCCTTATGTTCGTGTTTATGATGGCGATGGTGGTGGTGACCATGCTTATGGTGATGGCCGTGTTTATGTTCGTGTTTATGTTCGTGTTTATGTTTTTCATGGTGCCCGTGTTTATGTTTATGACCATGATGATGGTGATGTTTGTGACCATGATGGTGTTTATGATCTTCGTGGTGGCTGTGTCCTGAGTGATGAGAATGACCATGATGGTAATGGTGTCCATAATTACGCAAGTACATGGCACCTTGCGATAAGGAATCTACTCCACTGAATGGTTGAGATGCAGAACTCGTAATAGAATGCGGAGAGAGTTCAACTTTCGTAAAGCTACCATCATCCAAACGCTTTGGAGTCGTTGGAGATAAATTGCGTGAGCCTGAATAGAAATTGGTACCATACTTCACTTGATTATTAACTTGATGATTTTGTTCAAGAGGCGGTGGTTTCAAGTATAAATTTTGTCGTGGATTAAACTGATTTAATAAACCCTTTTGCTCAAAACCTTGTGAGTTTCTTGATTCAATACACCGCGCGGCAATTAAAAGCCACAAAAATCCAGATATGAGGCACTTTATCTGTCACAAAAAAAGAAAAATATTTAGTATAGTTCTTTAAATATATTTACATGATATTCTAAGTTATTAATTACATAATTGCATTTGACTAATTAAGCTATCAGAAACTTACTAAACTCAAGCTTGAATACTAAATATTCAAAATGAACTTGAATAAAAAAAGCTGACTAGGATATTTGTACAGTTTACATAAAAAATAACGGCCTATAAAAATGTCATTTCGACTCATGTAGAATATGACTATATCTTGTTAAATCATAATAAAACTATATTAAAAAAAAACAGTTACTATACTTCGATAATCCACAAAGATATAAATTATTTTAAATAACTTTCTTTGACCTTAACATAACTGTTTCAAATGTATTTTGAATTAATTAATAATAAAAATCTTTTGCTAAACTATCATAAATGTCATTTATAAATTTCACCTAATTTGTATGATATAGGAATTTTAATTGATAGCTCAAAATAAAATTATTTATATAAATTTTAACGATAAATATATTATAACAAATACTTTGATCATTTATGACTTCAAAGCGTTACTACAAAATTATGTTATCATATTGTTAAGTAAAGTATTTGGTTGCGATGATTTACTAATATGGTTGAATCGATAGGCGAATGCGCGAGTGCATATTTTATATATAAATGACAACTTCAATAATGTTAACCTAACCATTGAAAATGTAAATAACACATGAGTTATTATTTTGTTTTAAATAAATGGTATGTATAGTGATTAATTTGAATTAATTGATTTTAGCAGCATCCATTTTTAATGATTTCCTACGTACTTCAATCTATAAAAAAATCCAATCTTCTAATTTATTAGATTGACTTCACTATAAATTGATATTTCTTATATTGGACCCAATACCTTTATTATTCAATAAATCGATATATTATAAAAATTATAAGCTAACAAAAAGTATGTATTTATAATTAACAGATTATAAATGTATCTTTTTCTCTATTTTTTCTTATTTCTGTTTACATAATATTATTGTTTCCAAATTAATAGTGCGTGAAAATGTCCTGAAAGCTGTTTATCGATGATTTGAATGAATATGTTTAAATAATACGAAACTCCCCTATGAATTTTTAACAACTTTATTGATAATATAATTCAATAACTCTATTTTATTCAATTCTCAAATTACAAATATTGTAAATCAATATTCTAATTAATTTAATGTGAACAATCAAACATGATGTCTAAGGTTTTTTCGGTGGAGTAACTGCTGCACGTTCTTGTTTTACTTGATGCCCGTCATTCATCATCGAAGCTTTATCTTCAGGGAATGCATATTGTCTGAGATTTTGCGTAGCGTCATAATCATATTGTGGGTTACTGTGATCACCAAAATCTACAATATGGTGGTCACTGAGACTTTTATGGAAATGATGATGACCATGATGTTTGAAGTGTTCATGATCCTCGTGATGCTTATGGTGATGATGATGACCATGGTGGTCATGATGATGATGACCTTCGTGATGTTTATGGTGTTCGTGGTGTTTGTGATGTCCCTTATGATCGTGATGATGTTTGTGTTCCTCCTTATGTTCCTCGTGGTGATGATGATCTTCGTGATGGTGGTGTTTATGTTCCTCGTGGTGTTTATGATGATGGTCTTCGTGGTGACCGTGGTGATGTCCGTGTTTATGCTCATGATGATGTCCATGGTGGTTATGGTGTCCATGGTGATGATGATGTTCGTGTTTGTGTTCATTATCATGTTTGTGATGGTGGTGTTGATGATGACCATGTCCGTGTTTATGATGATGCTTGTGATGATGATCTTGATGATGATGATGATGATGATCTTGATGATGTTCGTGTTTATGTTCATGTTTATGCCCGTGCTTATTTTCATGATGATGTCCGTGTTTATGCTCGTGATGGTGACCATGTTTGTGCTCGTGACCATGTTTGTGGTGATGACCATGGTGATGGCCATGATGATGACCATGCTTATGCTCATGCCCATGTTTGTGGTGATGTTCTTCTTTCTCTTTGTGCTCATGATGGTGGTGGTGATCGTTTTTATGATGATGAGCATGATGATGATGATGTTTATTGTAGTGATCATGTTTGTGATGATGATGATGTTTACCATGATGCTTATGTTCTTCATGATGCTCATGCTTGGAAGTATGATGATGATGATGACCGTGATGGTGTTTTTCATGGTGATCATGTTTATGGTGATGTTTGTGTTCATGTTTATGGTGATGTCCATGTTTGTGATGCTCACCATGTTTATGGCCGTGTTTATGATGATGGTGGTGACCGTTTTTGTGGTGATGACCATGTTCATGTTTCTCTTCATGTTTATGTTTCTCATCGTGATGATGACCATGTTTATGATGATGATGAGCGTGATGGTGATTCTTGTGCTCTTCATGATGTTTATGCTCATGATGCTCATGGTGCTTATGATGATGATCGTGCTCAGCGTGGTGTTTATGATGAGCGTGATGGCCGTGTTTGTGATGATGGTGATGTTTATGATCGTGATGTTCTTTATGGCCATGATGATGATGGCTGTGATGGCCATGTGATCGGTAATCATAGCCGGTCGATGCATGTAAATTATCTATCCCTGAACTTGCTAAAACTGTAATATCGTTACGTTTTTTTGTATCTGAATTTTTTCTTTCTGTGTTATCCGATCGAAATAATGCAAATGACTTAAAACCGGCCCCATTTCCAAGTACGTGACGTTTTTGGATGAGATGCTGGTATTGATTAATGCTATGAAGTTTTATATTTTCTCTGGTTTTAATTTCACGTTGAGTAGAAAAGCTTGCCTTGTTAATAAGTCGTTGTGCTTCGATCGATTCTGTATATTGTAATAAAATGAACAGCCACAAATACCAACATAGAAGGCACTTCATCTGTCGAGAAAAAGGATTAAAAAACCTTGTTAGTAAATATTTTACCGTGGGTAAGGTATATTATTATTAGTGTGGGTATGATCAATTCTGGCTAAAGAAACTTACTAAATGGTAGCTTGTATCTTTTTTGAAAGTAATAAGACAAAGTAACGATAATGATAATTTACGATTCTTGTGAAAATGAATAAAATTAGAACTTTGATATATTTTATTTCCTTTCAATGATAGATAATTATTAATAATTTAATTGTGCAAAAGAAAATTGAATAAATAAATCTTATAACTATCACCTTCTTTTATGTAGTCAGGTTTTGAACAATTACTAATAAATCTGTGTGTTGGCCTATTTCAATGAAAAATAGAATTTATTGTCTTATAAAAAATTAAAGAATAACTTCAATTGCTTGATATAATTTAGTTTTGATAGCTCTTTAATATTCATTTTGAGAAATATATAATATAAATTCATCTTGATACTATTAACATATCGCAAGTAAAATTGAATAAAAGTATAATAATTATTTAAATTTAAATTTGAATCGGTCATACGAACTGTAACACGTATCTTTAACGTGACACTAGTGACTTGGTCACATCATTGAATGATCATTCAATTAATAAATACATTTAAAGGATTAAAAAATTGAGAATTGAGTTGTTATCAGGAAAAATAGGATATTAGGAACATCCAACCTGGTATTCTATCATCTTTGAATTAAAAAAAATTGCTATTATTTAGAAGTACTATTTTCAAGGATATTATTTCGAAATGTTTTTCAAAATATTGAACTCCGTAGCCTTTTGTTATAAAAATATAATTAAAAAGTAAATTTTTAAAGCATATTTAAAAAATAAGTAGATGTTGATAAAGATTATGTTAAAAGTTATGCATTGGTATATTTATACGTTAATTAAATAGAAACAAAAACGACAATAGTATTTTAAGAAATTTTTTTTGATAAACCACGCTACTATTGTTTCAATATCTGTTGAGCGTCCATCCACTGTCACGATCCCAATTTGCAAGAACAATCTTGAACAATAACCACAGAAATCAATTTCATCATTAATGCCTCCTGATCGTTAAAGTTGTAATTTTTCAGGATATCACATACGCTTAACTGTTTTTCTTGGAATCGGAAATCGAAGTAATTGATTAAATATTAGCAAAAATAACATAATCACAATGAAGAGCATCCTCGTACTCTTAGATAAGTACATTAATAATTGTATTTCATGATGTTTGGATTTATGTCATATCAGCGTTAACGGTGTACGAATGATAATTGTGTACGAATGAGAATTGATCATGGAGCAAACAGATTAACAGCCTTTAAACGTAGCAAATCTCTAACTTAAAATAAACCACAAAACTTGTTGCCGTTGTTTATATCCTTTGTGATATAGGCAAAAATAACCTCGTTCTGCCAAGCCTTTAACAAGCATGAAAATATTTCAGTGTAGGACATGAAGTTAACAAAAATACAAGATCATTGTTTCGTGAGATCAATCTTTCAAAGCTTAAATTGTTTCTGTCTCAGACAGCACTCATTAAAGAAATAAAAATATCTAACGTCGTTTAAAAATTTATTCTGGATCGTGGCTTACATTTTCGTGAAATATTATAAATTTTTCTTGAAACTATTTCTGTAAAACATTATGAAATTACTTATCTCATTGCATGTGTTTATTAAATATTTATTGTTATAAATTAGTATAACAATAAATATTACATATATATGAATACTTTCATTTATTTTGCAGTTAATTTAAAAATATTCTTCATAAATAGATCATAAAAAATATATTCAGAATCACATTCATTCTGCTTGCTGATTTCATCCTTCGGTTGTGTTTATGAAATAGCTTGAATATCAACTACCTACTTATTTATTATTTTATATTACATATAAGAGTATCTATAAGAATACCCATCAGGAGATCGTTGATAGTCCATCAGTATTAGCATGAGAAAGAATATTCAGATAAGAAATTTTCAAATCATACTGATCAGATATTTGCACCGAACTTGCTAATTAACCAGCATATTTTTGGCTTTATTACTTAAAGCAGGCATCATTTTTACTTTATTCTACTTGTTAATGTTTGTGGTTAACTGGAACTGAGTTATAATTCACCAAAAAGTGGTCGTATAAGCGTCAGATTTTTCGTTGAAAATAATTTACAGTATTATCTAAATTTACTGTTGTATATTTGTTTGCGTATTTAAAAAGAATGGTTATACTCTTCTGGTTGAATCATGAATGATTCTGAATAATCTTTTTAAAACGTGATATAGTAGACATAATCCTTCAATGATGCATACTCTTCAAACATTTTGTCTTTACACATATGTATTTAAAACGATAGACTGCGAGTTTTTATTAATCAACACTGCGATATTGTAATATTATTCCGAGCTCCTGCAACTTGACGTGCACTTCAGGATCGATTTGTGCTCTTTTAAAAATGGTTTATTTCACTTTTCTCTTCCTTAAGTGCCAAAAAAGCTTTATAAAACGTAATTTTCATGTTGTTGATGACGGGTTAGCTGTCGATTTAATAATAAAACTGATTTTGTCAAATTTTTGACTGTTTGCAATTAATTACTTTTATTAGAAGAAATTTTTATTCAGACAAGTAGCATGCTCGCTGGCATCTTATGCACTATGCTTTTCATAATTTTCATGAAAAATATATAAATCGAATTTGAAGCATTTAAACATCGTTTGAAAGAGCATCCTTAAAAATAATGGTATCCGTACTTCTTAGTAATAGACATTTTTCGTAATGAAAAGTTACAAACGTCGAAGTTGGAAGTTCCTATTATATTTTGTTCATGAGCTCCATAAAAAGTCAAAAATACATACTATCTATCTATCAAACTTTTGTTTCTCGCATATGGAAATGTGGATGTAATTGAAAAATATTGAATTTTGGAAAGTGATATAAGTGGATCTTAGTTAATAAAATCATTATTATGAATTTCTTAATTTTTTAATAAATTTATTGAAATACGTGAATAAAAATTAACATAAACTAAAATAAAAAAAATGCGTGTTGAAAAATAAACATATAATTAAGTTTCAATATATCTTACATTTATTAACATTGAATAATTACAATTGATGACAAATTTCAATAATTCAGATTTACACTACTTGAACTAAAAATGGTTTCGACGAAGTGGATATAACATCTTGCGACTTCAGTTTAGTTGATTCTGATACAGGGGTTCCATCTTCAGGGAAAGCATACTTTTCATGATTTTGAGATGCACCAAAGAAATGATGTTGATGACCTTGGAAGTGATGATGATGATGATGGCCTTCGTGTTCTGCATGATGATGGTCTTCATGATGTTTGTGGTGATGGTGATGGCCGTGATGAGCATGGTGATCTTCATGATGTTTGTGATGCTCATGATGTTTATGCTCGTGTTTGTGGCCATGATCTTCGTGGTGTTTGTGGTGCTCATGGTGTTTATGATGTTCATGATGATCGTGATGATGTTTGTGGTCATGGTGATGCTTGTGGCCTTCGTGATGTTCTTCTTTATGTTTATGGTCTTCATGATGATGATGTTTATGCTCCTGGTGATGGTGGTGATGATGGTCATCATGATGCTTATGATGATGATCTTGTTTGTGTTCATGTTTGTGTTCATGACCGTGTTTGTGGTGATGACCGTGATGATGCCCGTGCTTGTGATGGTGATGATGGCCGTGTTTGTGATCATGCTTGTGACCGTGCTTGTGCTCGTGGTGATGCCCGTGTTTATGTTCTTGGTGATGCCCGTGTTTGTGCTCGTGGTGGTGGCCGTGTTTATGTTCATGACCGTGTTTATGATGATGATCCTGATGATGACCATGGTGATGTTCGTGGCCATGTTTATGGTGATGATGGTGGCCATGATGATGATGTTGGTCGTGTTTGTGTTCATGCTTGTGCTCATTTTTGTGCTCATGGCCATGATGATGATGATGCTCCTCAGTTTCTTTATGGGAATGGTGGTGATGATGTTCATTATGGTGATGATGGTCGTGATGATGATGATGCTCATTGTGATGGCTATGTTTGTGATGATGATGATGCTCGCCCTCGTGCTTATGTTCCTCGTGATGCTTGTGCTCCGAATGATGATGATGACCATGCTTGTGATGATGTCCTTCGTGATGGTGATGTTTGTGCTCGTGCTTATTTTTGTGATCATGTTCGTGTTTGTGGTCATGGTGATGGTGATGGCCGTGGTGATGATGATGACCATGCTTATGTTCACGATGATGATGATGACCGTGTTTGTGATGATGGCCATGTTCGTGTTTATGCTCGTGGTGATGCTTATGGTCCTCGTGATGATGGTGACCATGTTTGTGCTCATGACCGTGGTGATGTTTATGTCCATGATGATGTTTATGACCATGATCGTGTTTATGCTTAGAATGGTGACTGTGATGATGTTTGTGCCCATGATGATGGCCGTGTTTATGGCCATGGTGATGCCCATGGTGATGACCGTGATGATGATGATATGAAGCCGAAGACAGACTGTCTAAATGAATACGTCTCTGTATGGGAACACTAGCTGCTAGCGCTGAAGCTACTGTAGAATATTGAACTGCTGCAGTATTATTTTTTATGTTCAGATAATTTTGATGCTGCAATCTCGGAGGTTGTCCAGCAATTGATGGATTTTGTATTTCAAAGTTTAATCCATAATTGATTGTTTGACTATCAAGTTGACGCTTTTGC